TGGAGGACATTTTCAGCATTTGCGACATTGAGTTTATTTTTGTAAATTATCTAGTTGTTTCAATTTCTAAATGAAAAAAAACTTGCTATTGAAAAAATAAAACTTGTTTATTTGGTATGGCTGGATTCGGTTTTCTATAAGCTTTTCAACGAGCCTCCTCATGCCTTATGTTTCCATTTGAAAAAAAAAGTAGGGGTAGCTAAGGATTAGGGGGTTGAAGAAAAATTAATTATTATATAACCGAAAGATGGGAAAAAATCAAAATCAGTTAACGTGTTTCGGCGTTTTAAAAAAAATTAACTCATTCAAAAGATATGAATTTTATTCCGTACTTTTGGTCATCCCTGTATAACATACAACTATCGAAATCAAACACATATTTCTGAAAACTATTAAATCAATATTTTGATATTTCTCTGGTGCTACTGATGCAATACTTATAATTATTTCGTTTTGAATTACGGGAAATTATTTTAATTATCAGGATATACACTGTAAAAAAATTTTACCCTAACTTCACTCAATTTTACTCAATAATGTATCAATTTATGTTCACACCCGATTGAGTGAAATTTTCACTCTATTAGTATGAGTAGTAGTTCACTATATTTTGACTCCCCCTTTAACTTTTTTATTTTAAGAGATAAAAAAATAAGAAATACAAAAGTTGCACGATTTTTTATGAGGTTTTCGAAAATGATAGTAGAAAAACAAATGAAGTTCAAACAAATTGGCCGCGGATATTAACTTTGTTAATTTAAATGGAACACCCTGTATATTTTTACATATTTGGATAGAACGTTCCTTGTCGATCATAGTCATATAGAGTTTGTTGTGTCCGTCTCTAACAATAAGCGAGATAATATTAAAAAACAAAAAGATGTTTTTTTATTAAGAAAATAAGACATCTTTCAGGCATTTCTGCCTTTTTCCCAATTACGTAAGGATTTAGATTTAGTTGTAATATATTTTGTCATATCGGACACTGATATAGTCCAAAATGCGTACCTATAGGTATTTTAACTTAATCTCACTAATTAGAGCGTGTGCGGCCAATTACTCATGGACAATGTTATATGGTAGGTCGTGACAGTGACAGGTAGTAATGTCATGATAACATTGTTATTGTTTGATAGTTTATATTATTATTTAATTAATATGGGTTACACAGAAGTAGAAAATTGAAATATTATTNTAATATTGTAATCATATTAGGCAGCTTTAAAGGCTCTTATTGTCAATTAATATTAGGTATAGTGATTTTAAAATATCTAGCCACTTTGGACCAGGAGATACAAATGCCATTTTCAGGAAAAACTTTTCTATAGGTAAGACCTCGAAGATATTTGTATTTGTATAGTAAAAAGGATAGACGGTAATAATAATAATTATTATTTAATTAACTCGACATAGGTCTTTAGATAATTAAATAATCTCATTGAGAAATACCTTTTTCGTTCCGTATGGTGGTGGAGATGTATATGGAAATCGAAAGACTGTTTATGAAAAAAAAATTTGCTTGAGGTGCTTTCGGAAAAATTATACGTTTTTTTTCTTAATTCCGATAATTCCCACCATTCTCCAGAAAAATAACAATACTTATAAATTTCCATGCACATTAAAGAGATGTTTTTCTAAATCGGAGTTGCCATGAATTGTTTTTAAATTTTGTTGGTATATTATACCAGTGCATACAAGGTGTACCACCTAAGAGGGATTCTTCTGTAACTCTGCAACTGTAAAATTTATAAAATAATGATTTGATGAAGTTGCCTGGAATCATGTGGGCCATGTAAAGAAAATATTTTTAGCTTTACAGGTTGTTCCATTTCGCGTGGTCGCTACATAACTTTGTTATTTCAAATTAACTGTATATTATTGCACTTTCGAATTCCTTGCTTAACATTGGGTAGAGTTTATTAAATGTACGTGGTGTTTAAAACTTACCGTTTTCGAGATAATCAGTTATTTTTGAAAAAAATCACAATTTCAGCTAAATGAGGCTAGATAACGTCTAAACCATAAGAGTTAAAAACCTGCAGTTTCCACAGTTCGGTTTGGCATAAATTACTCTATCTTGTCATCTATGAGCAAAAAGTGTACGTTATTCAGACTCGGAAATACTGAGACCTACATTTAATAATCTTACGAGTTGAAAAACTTTTTTTTTATATTAATTGTAATGGATAAATGCAAAATTGAATGCCCTTTCGACGGTATAAGGTTGTCCATATTATCTTTAACAATTTTCCAGAAAAATCAGGTACCTTTCTAATGTCCGAAAAAGTAGCTATGTAATAGCTTTTATTAGAACCAATTTTTTTATAAATCTTACAGTTACAGAGTTACAGGAGAATCCCTGTTAGGTGGAACACCCTATATAAGGAAATTTAATAAGAACATTGTTGTTAAATTCTTCTCTCCGACTAGAAGTATACCTACTTCTTTTGTAGGCTTCCAAATTCATTGAGACTTAAATACTACACTAGTGAATTCTAACACGCAGTAAGTCTGTTTACTGTACTGTATGAAAACACATATTATTTATTTTTCCAAAATTGGGGCACGCATTTTTTACATGAAAAAAATCATCGACTATATTTCCACCACTATGAAGGAGAAAAATATTATTCCTACATGTCATTATTGTATTCTGTATCTAGTGATTTATTTCATTTGGATTTCATATTTTATTTTATAGTCACTTTATATTTTTTTTTAGAAGCATACCTTCATCATCGTGTTTTTTATTAAACATTTTTTAGCCTATGCCTATAAAAATCTTTTATATTTCCTATATCCTACTTCAATTTGGCTTACATATTTATATTGATCTATATCAACGGATTTTGAAATATGATTCATTCCACGTTTTTATTAATTGATTGAAAAAAGCAGAAAGGATTTTCAAAAACTGACTCTTTTCATAGTTCGTTCGTTAGCTCTAAGTAATTTTTATGCCAAGCATTTTAATAAGACTGTAGATGTGCTTCGTATCTCGTACCAGTTTAGACACATGCTCTGCTCCTCGTCAGTGCCCTTATTACCAAATTAACCTCCTTAATCCTTCGTGTTTGTTACAGAAATCGTGCTGTTACACTACCACTAGTTAAATGGATGATGCGATGTATTCGTAAATGTAGGTCAATGTATTTTAGAACGGCAGTTATTCGAAAACAATTTGACAAAGGTCCTTTGTGTTATAAACAGACTGACATAATCACTGACTGATTTTCGAGATGCTAGTGAACGAAAGTATATTCTCTTTTACAAATGGGACAATTCGAAGAGGTGTTTAGACATTGCCTTAAGCAATTAGCATGGAAAAGATGTTGACAAGGTGTGATTCTCGCCCTCTCCATTGGACTTAAGCATACTGCACACACGTCGTCCCAGTTTAATATTTCTTCCTCTGTAGCATATCTGAATTGCCCCAACACTGCTTGCTCGTCTCTCAGTTTCTTTAAACAATTTAGAACCATGTCTTTAACTTTCAAATACACTGTCAAATAGAACGCTATGAATGTGAATCTTACTTGACCGTAGAAAGTTAGAAACATCACCAGGAAGGCTGCTAGTGTAACGGTGTAGTATCTCAAAAACACTGGTGCATACAAAGGTTCCAAAGCTTCAAGGGATTTGAGTTTTAAACAAAGTAGGAGCGGTAGAAACAGGTCCACAAAAACTTTTTCAGTGCACATGTAGTACGTCCAAGTTACAAATGTGTACAAGGCTGTAGGTTGATAGTGCTCTAGTCCTTGTTCCAATCCAAATACAAGCAGCATGAATGTGACAGTTATAATGAAAGTTATGGCTTTGGTCCATTCCAGTACTATCTTGGTGGCAGTCATTGCTACATGTTTTAAATTGCTGTGCTGTGTCATTCTAACTGTAACAGACCAGTCCTCTTTCTCTATGAGCTCTTTGATGTAACTGGTGCAATAAGCGATAACGTTGTAGAACATCAGTGAATACAGTCCAGTTATTTTCTTTTGGGGGCAGTTGCCACCTCCAAAACTGCACAGCAAAACTCTGTCACACATCATGAAGAACACCAACTGAAAACATGTTTTTCTTTGTAAAAACTCGTAAACTGTCATATGACCAGTTCTTACCTGTGTTGTCAGGTTGGAGATATTAGACATCTTCATAAACATCCTCTCACACTTGTCCAGAGGACCATACACTCGGCAGAGAAACGACCACGCTGGACCAGAATACCTCTTCAACAAACCTTTAAAAGAAACAAAGAAGTATTAACACATACATTATTTCGTTTGAATTAAATAAAATTTCAGTTTTGGTTTATTATTTATAAATCTTAACATTTGTTTATGAATACGTTACTATGAACGTGTACATATTTTAAACAATTATTAAAGCCCATTTCATAAACATTAAACGAAATCAGTTACTGATAATCTTCAACGATGAGTTAATTCCCATGGTTTTACTAGGTACTAAAATGATCACTGCAACACCATTAACATCTTTAAGAGTTTCAATATTAATGACATCATAAAACTACTCCTACAGGCATTATTAGCAAATAATTTTAAATGTTATTTACTTTAGTAATTTCGAAAAGTATAAAGCAATTTTACTTTAATGTGACACTTTAAACCAAAGACATGTATTTATTTACGAATCTATAAATTTAATCTATTTAGGAATAGGTATTTCTGGAAATAACATTTCATTTCCTATGTCAACAACGTGAAATTTTACAAAAACAAAATTCTACATTATAGAAACTACGCATTATAACAACAATTTTTGGATATTATATTTCTATAAATATCGATACGTAAAATCATTTCTCCATAGTAAGATATTAAAAAAAACATGGAATAGTGTGTAGTTCTCTAAAGGTTAGACCCTGAACGCGGGTTTTTTCATATAAAATAATGAAATTCGAAACTAGGCACTGCCATCGTATTTTGAATCTAAATATCTAAACTTTTAAAATAAATGAAAATATTTCCGTTCATCTATATAGGATGTTCAGTTACTAATGAACCAAATATCAAATGCTTCGTTTCCGAGATAAATTAAGTTAAATTTGAGAACATTACAACTACTTTCAGGCCTATCTCGTATTCCCGTTACACAATATTTTTCTAATTTGACATGGAAGGTACTAACATGGACCTTTATCACTATGTACAATTTCATGGACATACAAAAAGCCAGTGACGCGCAAGCATTATTATCGAAGCCCTTTTATGAAAAATAAATGTTGGGACAACTGTTTAAAGCAGCTACATGTTGCATAGCGCTAACATGTATGGTTCCTGAGAAAGCCAATTCTATTTTTCTACTACAATAATCAGAGTATTTACGGGTACGGTAGCACTGAAGTTTTTCTGAATTTATAACTAAATTCAATTTTTTGTTATTATGAAAGTGTTAATATCTGGAATATGTAGTTCGGGAACTACAAACTTATGTCATTATGGGCTGACTTTTGAGAAGAGGTAAATTGGTCTAAATTGTAAAAAATAATCAATCTACTCCATTTAGCAAAAAAATAGATTTAATTAAATTGGAATACCCCCAAGTATTCGATAGTTCACTACTGCAGCAGAAAATTGAAATAAATTTTTCTCGGAAACCATTCGTTTTAGCTATATGCAAAAAGCATACCATTTATATTGAAAAAACATTGAACATGTTCTTAATATGCCTGAGAATAATTTTATTTTTTCATCCGTAACCCCCTATTATATCTCGGGAATGGAGCATTTTCGACAAATTATTTGAACATGCTTTTGAGATACAACGGGCTGTTTAGATCTTTAAGTTTGTTTTTTCTTTGTAACTCATAAACTAATTGACTCTTCATGAAATTCAACAAATACCCTATGAGAAACCAATTCGAATTAGGTATATAAATAAATAAACAAATAGAATATTGTACAGAAATCATTTTTCTTTTTAATTTTAAGTATCTACATAATAACAACAATGTCAAAGTGAGGGTGTATATTTCTACAAATAAATAAGAGTAAAGTGCAATATACTCCCGCAACGCATGTTGCGAAAGAAATAAATATTTACAACACAATATTTATAGATTTTATCGAGGAAGCAGTAGTCTAACCACTAAGGAATTTTATATCCAGTAGGCAACTTGTACACGTCATGTAATATTTCGCCAAATTAAATTATTATTTTTAATTTGAATAACAGATAGTGTTGCTCCAAACTGTTATCAATGAAATGTAGATATCTAATAATTAAGAACTATTAAAGCCAAAACATAGCAAATATGTAAATTTAGACATACTTTCTCTACGTTCTTGCAAAATCATAATTAATTATAAGTAAATAATTCAAAATTGGAAAGGAGTGCCTACAGAAAGTTTTTTTAAAATACATTTCCATATTTTCTTTCAAAGGAATAGATAACTTTAGTCCAGAAAAATTAGACGAAAATAGGGCCCAACCTCGGAATTGCATAAAGAAGGTTCGATTTTGATGGGACAAAGTGCGTTCTCTTCGTAATTGCATGTACATCAAAGTCTACAACGTCTCATGCGGCGCTAATTTGTTTATTTATAAATAATCAATTATTATTAACAAATAATCGTATTTCGGATATTACGTGGGGTGGAAACGGCCAATCTTGATGCGGTAAAGCTCATTCTTCTTCTTATTAGTTGTACTTTAACTGTAAAGGACCCCCACCGATCTTCATTTGTTTATCGGTTTTTATTTGATTGTTATAAACAAATTAGACGTGATATCTGCGGTCGGGAGTAGGACTAGCCGATTTGGACGGGATGAACGTGGTTTTATATAGAAAGTTCAAGACCCTAATGCAGGAAGTGAATTCTCAAAAAGCTGAAGACCATATAGAACATGAATCATTATGAATAAATGTTATCCACTTCTCTTTGATTAAAAATTATCCATTCTAAGTCTTAGTTACAGATTGCACGTGTAATTTTTTTATAATGATTAATTAGTAAAAAGAAACAAATGAAGATCATTCGGACCTTAACGGTTTTGGAATATCCCGGATGATGATCAAAGTGACTTATTCCATAAAAATCAGACTTTTCTCGTCCAGCTCACAGATAACAGCCCGAATTTGTATATACTAATTCATTGAAGATCAATGAACAAATGAAAATCAGTCTGCCCTTAGTGGCCCTTAGTGGTTCTGGATCACCTTGTAATCCAAGTACGAGAAGAGCGTCGATTACCGCGTGAAAATCCCCCTCTCCCAGTCCGATTGCCTAATTTGCTCTTAATGATCGAATAAAAATCAATAAACAAATGAAGATCGGTGGGAGTCTCCCAAAGTTAAGGTACAACTAATCAGAAGAAGAATGGGCTCTACCGCATCAAAATTGGCCTTTTCCAACCCACGTAATATCCGAAATACGCTAATTTGTT